CTGTTCCTTCCAGGGTTGCAGATGCACTAGCACAACCTCAATGGCGTGATGCTATGACAAAAGAACTACAAGCACTTGAGAAAAATCAGACTTGGGACATGGTTCCCCTTCCTGTTGGACGAAAAGCTGTGGGTTATCGTTGGGTGTTTACAGTTAAGCATAATCCAGATGGGTTAGTTGCTCGTTACAAGGCCCGATTAGTTGCCAAGGGTTATGCTCAGACTTATGGCATAGATTATCAAAAGACTTTTACCCCTGTTGCCAAGATGAATACTATCCGTATATTATTTTCCGTTGTTGTAATTCTATCTTGGCCTCTATTTCAGTTAGATGTCAAGAATGTCTTTCTTAATGGTGATTTGCAGGAGGAGGTGTACACGGTTCCTCCTCTGGGCTTTCGTTCTCTTACTCATTCTGGAATGGTATGTTGTCTTCGTCATTCTCTATATGGCCTCAAGCAGTCTCCTCAAGCTTGGTCTGATTGCTTTGGCATTGCTATGCTTAAGTTTGGTTTCCATCAAAGTGCAGCTGATCATACCTTGTTTTTACGTCATTCAGGGGGTAAGACAATTGCTCTTATTGTGTATGTCGATGATATTATTCTTACCGGCGATGATACTACCGGAATTAATGAGGTTAAGAGCTATCTTGGCCGTCAGTTTGAGATTAAGGATCTTGGTCCCTTACGGTACTTCTTGGGCATTGAGGTGGCTCGCTCCAAGACTGGCATCTTCATCTCTCAATGCAAGTATGTTCTTGACTTGCTTTCTGCTTCTGGTTAGCTTGGCGCTCATCCTACTGATACTCCGATTGAGCAGAATCATCGGTTGACTGATTCTGAGGGGGAGTTGTTGTCAGATATTGGTCAGTATCAACGACTTGTGGGGAAGCTCATCTATTTATCCATGACTCGACCTGACATTGCTTATGTCGTGTGTGTCGTGAGTCAATTCATGCACGCTCCTCGTGCCCCACACCTTGATGCAGCTATTCGGATTCTTCGTTACTTAAAAGGGTGTCCAGGCCGTGGTATTTTGTTTGCTAATCATGGTCACTTATATGTTGAGGCTTGGACAGATGCTAATTATGCAGGATCAATTTCAGATAGGAGGTCTATTTCAGGTTATTGTACCACAATTGGTGGTAACTTGGTTACTTGGAGCAGTAAGAAGTAGGATGTTGTCTCTCGATCTAGTGAAGAGGTAGAGTATAGGGCTATGGCTCTTGGGATCGGTGAGTTGCTTTGGCTGAAAACCTTGATGACAGACTTGTGCCTTCCAGTGTTACTTCCATTCTCACTCTACTGCGACAACAAGTTTGCTATTAGCATAGCAGCAAATCCCGTTCAGCATGACAGGACTAAGCATATAGAGGTGGACCGTCACTTCATTCGAGAGAAGATCATCTCTGGTCAAATTTGTACTCCATTTGTCACAAGCTCTCAGCAGCTTGCAAACATTTTTACAAAGGGCGTCAGCAAGATTGTGTTTGAGAATGCATTGTCTAAGTTGGGCGTTTCAGATATCCACGCACCAACTTGAGGGGTATTGTTAGCATTTATGATACCACGATTTATAGTATAACTTACCATAATAGCAGAGATTTGGCTATACATATAATAACATTTATATGATATCACGATTTATGGTATGACTTACCATAAAAGTAGAGATTTGACTATGCTATAGAATATGCCATAGAATATGCTTTAGAATAAGTTGTGATTTGATTTTGATTTGATTTAGTTTCTTTTCTTGTAATATGAGCATGTGCTCATTTTATCTATAAATACTAGAGCTGTGAATGAGTAATTTATCTCATTCAAGCCTTTACGTAATTCTCTATTTTCTCTTCTTTTTATATATTTATACTCATGTTCATTCTCAACATTAACATCTCCATTCAATTCAGCTGCATAGTTAGTATGATCACCACATGTGTCTCCATTCAACTCCTCACTTGGCTTATACTCAGTATCTCTGTCAACTTTATCATTTTCATTTTCAAGACCTGTATATTTAGGTGCATCATCATCATATGCAAGTTCATTCTCAACATTAGCTTCAGCTGTATTTTCATCATCATCTCCTACATCTGCATCATCAAAATTGAAGTCTTCATCATTATCAGCTGCCTATGTTGCATCTTCATCATCACTTTCATCGTTTGGTTCATCTTCAATTTGAAAACTGTTATCACTCAAGTCCATGAAAACTTAAGCTGCAGCATTAGGTTGTCTTCCATTAACATTCCCATTAGCAGGTTCTACTCTATTAGCATTCTTTTCACTAGTGTTTACTATACTCCCCTCAACTGTAGTCCAAGTTACATCAACTGTCCCATCATCATTTTCATTCCCATCATCTCCAGTTGGTGGCACCACAAAAATTCTCATGAATGAGAACTTTTTATGCTTTCCAACCATCTCAATATAATCTTTGTCAGTAACTAATTTTGATATACTCCCATCAATCAGATCTCTGTAGTACAAAACACTATTTGTATGATAACCAACCAACTGTGAAATGCATTTGAAATCTATCATTGACATACGGTCAATATCTACTCCATCAATCTCAGTAACAGATTCACCAATATATTCCATTTGCTATGTCTTACCAACTTCACCACCATGATGGACTCGAAGACAGTATAATTGGTTGAAAATAGGTGTATAACCTATCAAAACAGAAATTGTAATAAAAATAAATTCATGCTTGCAACTAACTAACTATAATGGTAAAAACCAAACATAAATAAAATTACATTAACCCTAATTTAAAATTATATTAACCCTAATACAAAATAACCCTAATATAAAATTACAATAACCCTAATAAACATTAACCCTAATTTAATCAATGGTCCCAACCTATTGGAATCATACCCAACACGACAAAGGCCTACAGATAAAAAGTTGTCTAACTAAAAGTCATAAACTATCAAACAAAGACATACCTGTCGACATATTGTCGAACAAAGTTGAAGACAATAGTCTTGAATAGACCATACTTTAGCTTCTTCACTGACCCACGGATGAGACCCACAGATGAAAAACATAACACAGATTCTTTTGCAACGCACCCAAGAGTTTGAACAATGAAACGCCTCAACACAGATTCTAGCCATCTGAGTGTATTCAGTGTTTTAGGGTTCTAAGCAATAAGATTCTTCTGCAACGCACCTAAGAGTTTGAACAACAAAATGCCTCAATAGAGATCCTAGCCGTCTGAGTGTATTAGGGTTCTAAGCAAAAATATACAAGTGTAAGAATATATATATATATATATATATATATATATATATATATATATATATATATATGTACGACTAGTGCAATGAATCAAATGACAGCGTTTTTAAGTCTAATAAATCAAACGATAGCATTTTAAGTCCAATACAACTGCTGCCTTGAATAAAATGATGGGGTTTTGATGTCCAACTATGTTGGCACTAAACGCGATTGTTTTATGCTAGAGAATAATATTCTAATTTCAAAAATATGATTTTTTGGTTTTTTAAATAAAAGGAAATATAATAAGGGTAATTCAATCATTTCACATACCCTTAATGACCAATTGATAGAATTAGGGTAAAATGATAACGTTATAATATTGTTAGGGGTTTTTAAAACTGGTGGGGGTTTAATGATCATTTTTTGAAAATAATGGGGGTTTTTAGATTTAAACCCCCCTTTTAAACACTTGTTGGGCCTTTAATACGGTGAATATTGGAGGTGGCCAAACTGAAGTGACCAACTTAGAGGGATACTCTACAAGTGGATATTTTGTAGGGTTACCCTCTATATTAGATAAAGCAATGAACCTTTGGAATCCCCTGGTTAACTTTTATATTACTTTATTTGTCACATTTACTTACATTATGCAACATTCATGGATTATATATTATTTTTAAACTTGCATATTTTTATAAAATAATTTATTTAATTAAATGAAGGAATGTAGTAAGTGAGGGAACTATAAATCAATTGGCATTCCTCTAAACTTACCGCATCTCTTCATAATATTTTTCCAAAACCGCATAATTCTCAACTCATGCATCATTAAAATTCCAAGAAGGTAAAAATCTCATTTTTCATGATTTTATAAAACTAAAATTACCATTGGGTAAGGAATTAAATATCAAAATACTTAACCCCAAATCCACATGGTAGACATCGACAAATGTCCAAATGCATTACATCATGATCATCGTTTAGACTCACTGCTATGCCATGATAGGCTTCTTTCGAACCGAAAACTATTTTGAGGCCCTAAACGATGGTATTTCGCCGAAAAGCACGTTACATCATGGCATAGCGGTGAGTCTAATTTATTGGGTCGTATCTAGTAAAAAAACTCTCTTATCGGGTAAAAAATGCACGCTTCGGGATCAGCCCAGAAAATTTGTTAGTTTGCTCGTTTGCCCTCCCCCCCCCGGGCGGTGATCCAAATGGTTCATAAAGGTTTCAGCAATCAATTATACATCATTATTATATTTATATTATTCAATAAATAATTTAGCACGTGCATTGCATGTAAATTTTGCTAGTCAATGAAAAACAATATACTCTTTCTCTTTTTGAAATGAAAATTTCAAAAGAAATAATGTGGTATTAATGATATAAATATCACTCCACTATTTGTAAAGTATAGATGTAAATATAGAATTGGCTTTTGTGGAATAATATTGAAGGTCTCTTGAATAACATTAGCTATGATATTATTTTCTTTTCTTTCTTTTCTAAGTGGTGACAAATTGTTTAGTAATAGAGAAACATAGTCAATAGTTTGATTAATAAAATAGAAATTTGGCATTAATGTGTTTAATTAATGACTCACATAATACACATGGTTTATCACACTACAATAAAAGATGGCTCTAACAGTAAAAAATTAGCATCATTTATTAAAAAATACTGTTAGAAAATGCTTTTTTGACAACACTTATAAAAATACCTTAAAAAAGCTTTTAAAAATGCCATCATATATATAATTTTATTTTCTCACTCCTCACTCCCTCAGTCATCACTCCTCTTTCTCGCACTTCGTCATAAACTTCTTGTTTTCCAAAATCGATTCATCGCACTCTGAAAGCAACAACAATGTCCATGGATCGATGATGTCCTGCATTTCCAAGTCGTTCTCTTCCTGGCCGGGCATTAGACTCCAGCTTCGAGTTAAGCATATCTAGGGTTCTCTCTCTCTATCTGTGCAAATATTTTCAATCAAGAGCTTCGTTTCCATCTTCAATCAAGAGTTTCGATTCTAATTGCTTTGTTTTTGTTGCTTCGATTCTAATTTCAGGTAAATTCCATCAATATTGCTTTGCTTTTGTTGGATTTCATACTTTAATTGGAGATCGATGTTAATATTACAAGAAACCCTAGCTTTCTAAGAGTTTGATTTTAGTTTTAGAACTCTGTTTCAAATTTTATCGATCTTGATGTATAAATTAATTCAAAATTGTTGAGGACATGATTATTTTATTAATATGATTCCTTGTTATGTATGTAATTGATGATTTGTAGCTACAGAAGTATACTATGAATAAGAGTCTAAAGTTTTAGTTTCTTTTTTCTCTGTTCATTTTTCTCGTGTTTCTGGGCAACCAAACGGACCGCTGCCGATATTAGGGTTAGATATCTTCAACTTTTGTCTTCTTCTGCTAGATCTAATGCATGATCATAGATCTCTCTGAATAGTTACTTCAAGCAAGTTCAGTTACAAATCTCTCTCTAACAGTCTAAACAACAATAGTTTACTCTATAATAATCATCTACCATTTTGAACCAAACTTAAAATCCTTTGCTACGAAGAAATTTAGTTTTTTTCCATTCGATGCATCATCTAATTGTGATTGTGCTGCTTTAAAAGCTTGTGCTAGTTTTTCGTTTAGCTGTAAGAACAAAACAATATTTCTAATTGTTGAAAATGATCTAATAATATATATATATATATATATATATATATATATATATATATATATATATATATATAACACCCATATAAAATGTTGTAATGTGAAATAACTAGGATATGCAATCACCTATCATTAATTTCAACCCACCTTAATGTTCCCATCTGGTGATAATTGAAATGAACTATTTTTGTATGATTCTGCAGCAATGCCAAACCTGTTCAATTTTGAAACCATGGTATAAACATTATATAATGCATTTTGCAACTGAGGACCAATTAAGGAACCACATGCATATTCCACTGTTTGAACAATTTATATTTCTTACATACTGAAAAATAAATAATAAATAAATAAGAAGAAAATGTTATTCCTCTCGGCTAGATTCATTAAAGAAATATTGCAATAAATTTTCAATTAGGATTCAATTTTGATGCACTAGAGAATTTGAAGCTTATTTACTGATCCTCGTGTATTGAGTTCGACTAGACTTCAAGTTGAGCCAAAAAATAGGATTTTTCCATTCTGAATATTGTGTAAAATAAGATCTTCAAACCACTGTTCTCTATAGTTGATGAGTACTAAGCGTAATGTTTCTTTTTAGTAGGTATATTAATTTCTTCTAACCCTCTCAATGGTCAGTTGTTATTGAGAGCTAAATTCCTCATTTATCACACATAGCAGAAGCATCATTATCACATCATCACACAAGCACATTGGGAAATAACAATCATACACATCCCACATATAACACAATATTTTACACGATTCACCCGATTCTTAGGCTACATCCATGGAAAGAGATTTCACTATTATGTAACAAGGAAGAGAATATACAACCAGATGTCAAAATTCTACTCACTCACTCATCATATCTTTTGAGACTACATCTCTACAATCGGGAATTATATATACTCTCCACTCTCTTCACAACACTCACTCTTAAATTTCTTATATCTTTCTCTAATCTCTCTCACCCATCTCTAGTTGTAGAGTCTTCAAATCCAATTACTAGTTAGACAAGAATTCCACAACTTGCCTACAAGGAGTTACCATAACAATCATAACTCTAAAATAGCAACCTAATATGTCACAAATACCTTCCATTATCTTCGATCTCCAACCAGTTGAGCTGGTCTAAATGACTTGAACATGTTCATCCTCAATTTTCACCTTATTGAACTACCTCAAAATAACTTGAACATGTCAATGTTTTTTAGAACACGACTTACACGCCTAATTTGAGCCACAAAATCGAACAATCTCCACATTGGCTTGAATTTGGTCTTCATATATGCCTCTATAGCTCCACCTTAACTGTAAATCTTTCCACCTCGAACAAATTAGTGTAATGAAATTGAGACACTATAACAACCTCCATTTTTTCTCAAATTTTATCATGCTCCTTCTTTTTCCATCAACAATCTCATTGTTGGTGTTCAATTACTGACGTATGATTAGGGATGGCAATTTGCCCCGCGGGGACGGGTACTCGCCCCACCCTACCCTGTTTATAGCGATTTGGGGGGACCGTTTAGCTTATTTGGGCGGGAATGATTTTTATTAATGAAAACTCTTGTGGGTTCGGGGTGGGTCGGGGGGAGGTCACCCCACCCCGCCCTGTTCTTTTTAGATAGGTAAATTACTAAATTACATTTATTTTATTAGTATATATAGTTAGTTCTGGAAATCTTAAGTCACATTTACTCACTTTCTCAATTGTTCTAGTAAGCAGCAAACCGCTACGAACTAAGAACACTTATGCCCTTGAATTTTATGTTAAATTATTGATTGCCTATTTTTTTTTTTTTTTGATTTTTTATAATAGTTATATATTATAAATAAGGAAAAAAAATAAAAAATGAGGAGAAATGGGGCGGGTGCCAGCGGGGGTACAAAAGTTAAACGGGACGAAAATGAGGTAAAAAGGTCCCCCGTTTAGGTGGTTTTGGGCCGGGATGGTGCGGGGGTTTCTAAATGGTTGTGGGGACAGGGGAGGGTACACCCGCCCAAAATCGCCCCGTTACCATCCCTACGTATGATAACCCACCAATAATCCACTCGTCCTTATCAATTACTTTTCTGGCTTAATGCAACAAACCTCTCTTCTTCATACCATCACATTCGCCCTATTTTGAAAACGAGCATCCTCAGGCTTATCCTAAAAATTATTTCTCATAAGCTTCACACTATTACCATACCTTATGTCATCGTCAACAATGATTAAATCTCAATAGCACCCAAGATTAACTTTTTGCTCTAACAAACTGCACACCAACCTTATGCTCTGACTGACCACAGGCTTTGACCCATCATCAGATTTGATACCAGTTGTTAGGGATATTAACCCCTCATTCATCACACACAGCGAAAATATCATCATTATATCATTACATAAGTATATATGGAGATAACAATCATACACATCTATGCATAATACAATATTTTACATGATTTACCCAACTCTAGAGCTACATCCATGGAAAGAGATTTCTATTATGTATCAAGAAAGAGAATATGCAACAAGATGCCAAAACCCTATTTACGCATTCATTATCTCTTTCGAGACTACATCTCTACATTCTGGAAATACCTATTCTCTCTCCTCTCCTCATAATACTCACCCTTAAACCCCTTATGTTGCGTTTGACATGCAAAAATGGAATGGAATGCAAGTGGGAATGAAATGTGATACCCTTCAATTCTAGAGCCATGGGTGATCAAGTCCGAGCACAGATCCGAGAGACATCAAATAATTAATATATAATTAAGCACATAATACAAGTTGAATTAATAAGAAATAAATAATAAAGCAGAAAAGAATTCTAATTAAAAATCCTAAAAAAAATAATGTTAAAATCCATTAATCCAAAACCTCCAAAGTAACTCCATTAATTTAACAACTCGGGAATCCCTCAAGTGGACCCCTAATAAAATCCCAAATTAGAAAGGAAATAATTGTAATTAAAATCCAGAATATAAATCTCTCCTAATACAGAATATAAAACAACCATCCAATATGTCGTTCAACTATTATAGTTGACAAGATATGAATTCATGTAGGATTTAACTATTTTAGTTAATCCATTCTGTATGTATGAATGTGTAGGAATTAACGTTTTGATCTAAGCTATCCCTAATATGCCATCGTCCCATACCGGTGCATATAATGCATATGATCCATAAATGACGCACACTCATTTGAACATTAAATACATCCAGAGACAAACATAATAGAAGTCAGATATATGCAAGGTCCTATTATGCATCCAGTATATGATTATAATCATATATCCTCTATTTAAATTGTTAGAGTACAATAAACAATTTAAATCATTCATATCCATATAATTGACCGAACATAAATTTTAACAGTTCATTAATTAACATCCATAGCATGATATAATGATATTCAGAATTATAAACTGAGCACATTATACTAGAATTCCAAAAATACCTTCATACTAGTCCATTTAATTTGCTAAAACAAAAAAACAAGCAATTAAATCCTCCTCAATCCTTGACAGCATGCAAATTAATATTTAAATTTCATGATGTCCATTTAATCCTCAATTATAAATCCCGTGCATGATATAATGATACTCAGAAGTCTAAACGGAGTATATTATATGAAATCCCAAAAGTATTTTCATACTAGTCCATTTAATTCGCTAAAACAAAACTAGCGATTAAAACTTCCACAACTCCTGATAGCATGCAAATTAATATTTAAAATTTCATGATGTCCATTATCATAGCATAAACCAACATTCCTGGGCCTTAAACATGTTATATATATCATTTAAAACCACCAAGGAAAATTTCAGAATTATATTTTAGCTCCTGTAGTCTGAAAAGTGCCAAAACTATACCCCCGTGGGATGTTCCAGCAAGGGAGCCGGCTCTCTCTTCATGGGAGCCGGCTCTCACACCTTTAGAGGCGCCTCTTCGGTTTATCTTCTTCGTCTTCGGCGAAGTTCAGTGTCCTTGTACTACTTTTATTAAATTCTTTTAGGGTTAAATCTAAGACCCACAAGTTCCAGAGACTCCTCAAATTCCAATACTAATTGTTAACCAGATTTAAACCATGATTGATAATAGTTTATACACAAAACAGTTTGCAGTAAAATAAAGCATACAATAGTTTACAGTCCGATATAACCTACATCAAATATCCGTTTTAAAGTTTGAATTAATTCTTGGAGACTATATAGCATGCACAAAACACAGGTTTAAGGGAAGGAGTAAGAATAAAACTTGCTTTCGGTTTCAGTTTTGAAACCTTAAACCAACGTCTCTGAGTTCCGGCAAATCCCAAGACTGTTCTCCTCCTCTGTTGCCTCTCGGCTCAGCTCACGAGCAACACCCTTTCTTTCCTCCTTGACCTCTTTATGTTTCTCTCAAGTTCCTCTCTCTTTTCCTCCCAAATCTTTCTTTGTTTCTCTCTACCTCACAATACGTGAATAGGGTTCTAAAACCCTTGGCAGACAAATAAATTATATATATATATATAGGTTCTTATAAAACCTAATCCTAATTCCAACCTAATTATAAGTCGGTTACTTCATCCGTAAAAAAAACCTAAATTAAAGACATTTAATTTAAACAACGAAAACAATTAATAACCTAATATTCAATTAAACAAATAAAGAAA